TTCCAGCTGCAAGTCTCTTGGGGTATGTCTCTATCAGTTTTGCACATGGAGAGACTGAAATTCTTGCCCATTCTTTCTTGCAAAACAGCTCGAGCTCAGTGAGGTTGGATGGAGAGCGTTTGTGAACAGCAGTCTTCAGCTCTTTCCACAGATTCTCGATTGGATTCAGGTCTGGACTTTGACTTGGTCATTCCAACACCTGGATACGTTTATTTGTGAACCATTCCATTGTAGATTTGGCTTTATGTTTTGGATCATTGTCTTGTTGGAAGATAAATCTCCGTCCCAGTCTCAGGTCTCTTGCAGACTCAAACAGGTTTTCTTCCAGAATGGTCCTGTATTTGGCCCCATCCATCTTCACATCAATTCTGACCATCTTCCCTGTCCCTGCTGACGAAAAGCAGGCCCAAACCATGATGCTGCCACCACCATGTTTGACAGTGAGGATGGTGTGTTCAGGGTGATGAGCTGTGTTGCTTTTACGCCAAACATATCGTTTTGCATTGTGGCCAAACAGTTAAAAGAAGATAAATCTCCGTCCCAGTCTCAGATCTCTTGCAGACATAAACAGGTTTTCTTCCAGAATGGTCCTGTATCTGGCCCCATCTATTAGGTATTTCTCTCGTACCTAGACAATAACAGAACCAGAAAGACACAGAGTAAGATTTTTGACCAAGCCCTTTGCAAAGAGGGAAGCCCACGATGACCACCTTCTAGCGTGAATCAGAGTGAACTCCGAAGCCTCATTGTTTGAGCCGTCTTTTATTTACAAGAGTGGGGGAGGAAAACAAGAACACAAGTTTAGACACAGCAGTTTCACATCAACAGATGGTGTCACAAGATAAGGTTCGGCAGGACGGTTTGGGTTGGAAACGAAGAGTCTTCTCAGAAAGACATCTTTTGCAAAGTTTAAACAGTTCCAGTTAATCAGGCGTGACTTTTGCACGCACACAGACAAGGTCATGATAAACCGTTTTGCCTAGTAACAAGCACAAGGTTTTTAAAGAAATAATATATTTTGTAAAATCCTTTACACCATCCATCTTCACATCAATTCTGACCATCTTCCCTGTCCATGCTGACGAAAATCAGGCCCAAACCATGATGCTGCCACCACCATGTTTGACAGTGGGGATGGTGTGTTCAGGGTGATGAGCTGTGTTGCTTTTACTCCAAACATATAATTTTGCATTGTGGCCAAACAGTTTGATTTTGGTTTCATGTGACCAGAGCACCTTCTTCCACATGTTTGGTGTGTCTCCCAGGTGCTTGTGACAAACTTTAAACAACACTTTTTATGGATATCTTTGAGAAATGGCTTTCTTCTTGCCACTCTTCCATAAAGGACAGATTTGTGCAGTGTACGACTGATTGTTGTCCTATGGACAGACTCTCCTACCTCAGCTGTAGATCTCTGCAGTTCATCCAGAGTGATCATGGGCCTCTTGGCTGCATCTCTGATCAGTCTTCTCCTTGTTCCAGATGAAAGTTTAGAGGGACGGCCGGGTCT